CCTGGAAATGGAAAAAAATAACAAACGGAGTGCCAGAAATAAGAAGAATTCATCATTATGATGAAGTCAGCATGCGTAAATGTGACGATTTGAAACTTCAATTCAATTAAATTTTATTTATAAAGCGCCACATCACAACAACAGTTGTCTCACAGCGCTTTCCAAACAGAGCAGGTCAGACCCTACTCTGAAGTTAACTACAGAAACCCAACTATTCCCACCATGAGCAAGCACTAGGCGACACAGGCAAGGAAAAACTTCCTTTAACAGGCAGAAACCTGGAGCAGAACCATGGTCTCTGGGGCTTTGGGGGACTCTGGAGGTTTATGGGAGTTTCTTGGGGTCTCTGGGGGTCTTTGGGGGTCTCCGAGGTTTATGGGTCTGTGGGGGACTCACATGACCTCGGGCTGGGCGCAGTGGGGGCCCTGGGGCAGCAGCCTGAGGCTCCTGAGGCTGGCGGGGGGGATGATCCGGGACTCCAGCTGCAGGCAGCCGCAGTGGGAGGTGTAGTCCCGGTTTAGGGGAGGCATTCCTGAGGATACACATTACACACATATACACACACACACACACACACACACACGCACATATATACACACACACACACACACATAGACACACACACACACACACACGCAGACATGAGTGGATGGTCGCTACCAGCTTTGGCCACCAGGGGGCAGAAACACAAACACACACCTGTGTGCCCAGACTTTTAGACTTAGACTTAGACTTGTACTTTATTGATCCCTTGGAATCCCTTAAAGTTACCAGCAGCTAAATTATTTAATCCTGTTCTTGTCTTAAGCTGTATGCAACGGAATTTCGTTTTGTGTGCACTCTGTACACACAAAATGAAAGTAAAGTTGTCTATGTCTATGTCGTACAGGGCAAAAAAGTGGCACACAGAGAGCAAAAAGCAAAACAAAATACCTAAAATACAGATTAAGTACTGGTAACTAAATTCACTAAATGTGAATAGCCAAAAAAATAAGAATATAAATACAAATTAAAAAATACAAACCCCTAAATTAAGCAAAAATAAGCAAAGAATAAGAATATAAATACAAAGTAAAAAACCCTAAATTAAGCAAAAATGAGCAAAGAATAAGAATATAAATACAAAATAAAAACCCCTAAACTAAGCAAAAAAAAGAAAAAAAAAAAATAAAAATACAAAGAAAAAAAAAAAAACTAAATTAAGCAAAAATAAGCAAAGAATAAGAATATAGATACAACGTGAAAAATAGAGAAAATCTAAGAGTTTGGCGGATAGATTGACCAGTGATGTGGTTTGGTTTGATAAATATGGAGTTCACATTTTACAGAAAAATACAAGCGTTGCTACTCTTCAGGCTCAAAAAGACTCAGCCTGGGACATTTTGCAATTAAATAAATATCCAATAAAAGCTCCCGGGACCCGTTTGTTTATGGCCCAGTCAGCACAACGATTTCACTTTACTCTAATTTAATTTAACTCGTAAATCGACCTGAATCCTCACGTCCGATGTGTTGTGAAACTCTCAAACTTCTCTAAATTTCAGAGTCACTTCAGGGCTAAAGAAGCTGAATCAGCAACTGCTGACCGGCTTGTGACCAGAGGTCAGAAAAGTCAAATTTGTTGGGAGATTCTCACCAAATTTCCCTTCACACACGTTTCTGTGTGTTTTCACTTCTAACCTATCAGCGTTTATCAGTCAAACTTCACTTACTGAATGTTTTAGTAAAAAAATAGTTAAAAATCCCACTTTTTGGGGGGTTAAATGTGTCTGTATAGAATTTCTGAGAATTTAAATATGAATATTCACTAATTATTCCCTTTTTATTAAAAAAAAACAACACTTTTTTGTAGGGTTTAATGTGTTTGTATAGAATTTCTGAGAATTTAAACATGAATATTCACTAATTAGTCTCTTTTTATTTAAAAAAAAACAACACTTTCATGTAGGGTTAAATGTGTCTGTATAGAATCTATGAACATTTCTGAAAATGTTAATATGAATATTCACTAATTTGTCACTTTTTATTTAAAAATCCCACTTTTTGTGGGGTTAAATGTGTCTGTATAAAATGTATGAACATTTTAATATGAATATTCACTAATTAGTCTCTTTTTATTTAAAAATCCCACTTTTTTGGGGGGGTTAAATGTTTCTGTATAGAATTTATGAGAATTTAAATAAGAATATTCACTAATTAGTCACTTTTTATTTTAAAATCCCACTTTTTTGCGGGGTTAAATATGTCTGTATAGAATTTATGAACATTTATGAAAATTTAAAATGAATATTCGCTAATTATTCACTTTTTATTTAAAAAATCCCACTTTTATTTAGAATTTTTAGAATTTATGAACATTTGAACATGAATATTCCCTCATTTTACAACCAATGAATAAACATTATGAACTCAAATAGGGGAGAAAATCAAAAACTGTGAGACAAACTGAAAACAGACCCAGAAAGTCTCCTTTAGTAAAAAAAAGCTGCTGACATTTTAACCTGAAGGCACGTGAACGTGTTCCAACACGCTGGAACATCTGGAAAACCTCCGGGGTTCCACAGAACACTCAGAGCGATTACTCAAGAGCAAATTCCTGCCTAAAAACCCTTTTACGCGTCCAGAAAAAAAAGAAAAAAAGAAAAAAAGACACCTGACAGATTTATCTCCTCTGACGTCACTGGTTTGACACCCCCCTTAAAAAAATGATTTAGGAGCACCAGCTCGTAGACCGGAAGCCCCTGTTTCCGACTCAGAACCCCTCTAGAACCCAGTAGAACCTCTCTCGAACCCAGTAGAACCCTTCTAGAACCCAGTAGAACCACTGTAGAACCCAGTAGAACACCCCCAGAACCAAGTAGAATTCAGCAGAACCCAGTACAACCTCTCTATAACTATCTAAAACTCCCCAGTACACAGCAGGAACCAGCACAACCACTGTAGAACCCAGTAGAACCCCTGTAGAACCCAACAGAACTCCTGTACAACCCAACAGAACCCCCGTTGAATCCAGTAGAAAATCTTTAGAACCCATCAGAACCCCCCTAGAACCAAGTAGAATTCAGCAGAACCCCTGTTGAATCTAGTAGAAAATCTTTAGAACCCAGCACAACCCCAGAAGAACCCCTGTATAACGTCTTTAGAACTAGTAAAACCCAGCAGGACCCCTGTAGAACCTCTTTAGAACTAGTAGAACCCAGCAGAACCCCCCTAGAACTCCTGTAGAACCTCTTTAAAACTAGTAGAACCCAGCAGAACCCCTGTAGTACCTCTTTAGAACTAGTAGAACCCAGCAGAACACCTGTAGTACCTCTTTAGAACTAGTAGAACCCAGCAGAACCCCTGTAGAACCTCTTTAGAACTAGTAGAACCCAGCAGAACCCC